CCTGCCTTCACCCTGAGTCAGCTGGGATAGACTCCAGCCCCCCATGACCCCAGTGATTGTATAGATAGTGGATGGATGGATGGCTGCTGCTCATTCAGAAACGTGTGTGGCACGCGGGCCAAACGCAATGACTGTTTGTTGAGTTTTTCCTCCGTTTTTTCTGGCGTCTCAAAATCTTAGTACGAGGCATGACTGCGCCAACAATTAGACTTTCTTTTCCCCAAAAAACAAATGCTATTTTGAGGGCCTAAACATGCTCTAAAACTCACCAAAATTTGCACATACATCAGGACTGGCTGATATTTTAAAGGAACTGGGCATGTCCATTGCAAAATGGCTCCTCAATGCCCCCTAGAAGAGTTCAACAGAGTCCTGTCGGAAGCACGTTTGGCCTAGACCTATGAAATTTGGTAGGCATATGTAGCGCATCAGGACGCATAAAAAAGCCTGGGGTGCCCACATCCTACAGCCAACAGGAAGTCTGCCATTTTGGAAAAACTGCAAGCATTTTGGCGATTTTTCCTCATTTTTGTGCATTTTCAAAATCTATCTCCTCCGAGGGGGAATCTCGTACACATGAGAAATTTGGCCAGCACAAACTACAGGGAATGGGGATTCAAAGTTATAAAAACGCTCTGCAAAGCGTGGAAATGTGGGCCCTCCATAAACCACCAATAAACAGGATGTGCTGTGTAACTGGCCTGTACGTGCTCCGATACGCCTGAAACTTAACACGCGTGCTCCAATCCCGGCCAGAGCATGTTGCCACCACAGCCCGACATGCAGGCCACCTCGCCTGGCCATTAAACAGGAAGTAGCGTCTAACTGGGCTGCTCATGCTTCGATCTGCCTGAAACTCCACACACAATGTTTGCCCCGCCCCAGTGTGCACATCGGCTGACGATGGTGTGGCGAGGACCCGACCATCACTGCTCGCAGCTTTAACTGTTTCGGTGTTTCCTGAACACACAGAAACCTAATGTGTGTCATATCGAAATCTTTCATTATTTGTTTTCAAAGCTGCAGGAAGCTTTTTGTTCTGATTTCCACAGTTCTCTGTGTCGTTTCCTGAACCCATCGCAGCAGAAGTTTTCATGAAGCTCAGCAGCCTGAAGCAGAACGATGCTTTAGCTTCTG